TAATAACCTTACCGTACACTTTTCCTGGTATACTCAGTAAGCTTATTCCTCTATAATTTTTACAGTCTCTTTTGTTCCCCTTCCCTTTATATTAAGGAACTATACATGCTCTCTGCCAATCCCTAGGTACCTTCCCCTCTTCCATACATTTATTAAACAAAAATACCAACCATTCCAACACTGTATCCCTTTCCCCTGCTTTTAACATTTTTGTCATGATCCCATCAGTTCCTGCTGCTTTACCCCCTTTCATTCTACGTAATGCCTTGTGCACCTCTCCCACACTCACATCCTGCTCTTGTTCACTCCTAAAAGATGTTACACCTCCCTGGCCAGTGCACAAAATTACCGCCTCCCTTACTTCATCGACATTTAAAAGTTCCTCAAAATATTCCTGCCATCTACCCAATACCTCCATCTCCGCATCTACTAACTCCCCTATTCTGTTTTTAACTGACAAATCCATTCATTCCCTAGGCTTTCTTAACGTGTTTATCTAACTCCAAAATTTTTTCTTATTTTTCTGCAAAATTTCTTGACAGTGCCTCTCCCACTCTTTCATCTCCTCTCCTTTTGCACTCTCTCACCACTCTCTTTTACTCTCTATATACTCTGCTGTTCTTAAAACAGTTCTGCTTTGTAAAAACATCTCATAAGCTACCTTTTTCTCTTTTATCACACACTTTACTTCATCATAACACCAATCATTCCTCTTTCCTCCTGCACCCACCCTCCTATAGCCACAGACTTCTTCCCCACATTCTAATACTGCATTTTTAAAACTATTCCAACACTCTTCAACCCCCCCCCCCCCACTACTCATACTTGCACTAGCCCACCTTTCTGCCAATAGTTGCTTATATCTCACCCTAACTTCCTCCTCCCTTAGTTTATACAGTTTCACGTCTCTCTTACTTGTTGTTGCCATTTTCCTTTTGTCCCATCTTCCTCTTAATCTAACTGTAGCTACAACTAAATCATGATCTGATACATCAGTTGCCCCTCTATAAACATGTACATCCTGGAGCCTACCCATCAACCTTTTATCCACCAATACATAATATAACAAACTACTTTCATTATATTCTATATCATACCTTGTATATTTATTTATCCTCTTTTTCATAAAATATGTACAATGGAACCTCTACTTGGGAGCGCATCCACATGCGAGTTTTTCCAAATACGAGCAGTCGATCAGTCCATTTTCTGCTTCCATACGCGAGCAAAATTTCGATAAGCGATTGGGCCTCAAAGGAGGTTCCTTGATGCTGGTGAGGTACTCTTGCTCTTCATCTAGGGAAGTGGATCTCATTTATTGAAAGTTGGCAATGTATGATGGAAAGATGCTTCTTAACGTACACCAAAAATGAAAGAAATCAGACCATAAATAATGGAGTTCACTTCTCAGCAATTAGTCACCCCTTAGCGGCATTTTCGTATGGTTTTTATGGTTGTATTCTCTTTTTTTTTGGTTTCTTTTGATAGAATGGAAGATATATTACAGAAATAGATATGATTTTGAATGGTTTCATGACGAGAAGTAGCTTGAAAATTAGCTCAAATTAGCAGAAATTTTCTATTTTTGCCGATGTTCAAGAGTAAACAAATGACATCACCTCCATTCCAATATGCAGTCATGAATGGATTGACATTATTTATACAATTATTACAATAATGAAGTAGCCTGCTTAACAGGCTACTGCATTATTGTAATAATTTTTTGTGTTATTGTAATTATTTTTTGTGTGAATAAAAATTCCAAATTATTTATATTGTAATAATAATAATAATAATAATAATATGTGTATTATAATATAATAATAATAATAATATATGTATAATAGTAATGCAATATATAATAATAATTATAATAATAGATTGCTTCAGAAAGCTATCAATGCCTCCACTTGTCACATAATAACATATTTTATTCATTCTAGAATATATATCAGGTTTGTATGTTATTTATATTGTTTATTATGTCATATTAAATGAATTTTGATAGATAAATAAGCCGTAGAATTGAGGATAGCAAAATATTCAAGGAGTATTTTGTCCTGTCTCCAGATAAACTCTCGTCGGCCACCGCCGCCACCACATATATAATGACATATTTTATTCATTCTAGAGTATATACAGTGGACCCCCGGTTAACGATATTTTTTCACTCCATAAGTATGTTCAGGTGCCAGTACTGACCGAATTTATTCCCATAAGGAATATTGTGAAGTAGATTAGTCCATTTCAGACCCCCAAACATACACGTACAAACGCACTTACATAAATACACTTACATAATTGGTCACATTCGGAGGTAATCGTTATGCGGGGGTCCACTGTATCAGGTTTCTGTGTTATTTATATTGCTTAATATGTCATATTAATTGAACTGTGATAGATAAATAAGCCATAGAGTTGATATTAGGGAAATTATTGAAGTATTTTATGGTGCATGGAATTCCACTGGAATGAATTAATTCCATTTCAATTAATTTAAATGAGGAAAATTGACTCTGCAAATGAGTAAATCCAGATGCGAGCAAGGTCACAGAACGGATTAAACTCGTAAGTAGAGGTTCCACTGTATTACTTATTACGAAACCTCTTTAAACACATAGCTCAAAGGCTCCCCATTTTCATTTACCCTGGCACCCCAAATTGACCTACTACTCTCTCCACAACATTTTTAGACACTTTGGCATTGAAATCCCCAACCAAAAGTACTCTCACACTTGGTTCAAAACTCTCCATGCACTCACTAAACATTTCCCAAAATCTCTCTCTCTTTCTTTTACACTTCTCTCTTCTCCAGGTGTATAAACATTTACTATAACCCACTTTTCATATCCAACCCTTATTTTACTCCACATAATCCTTGAATTTATACATTTATATTCCCTCTTTTCCTACTATAACTTATCCTTCAACATTATTGCTACTCCTTCTTGAGCTCTAACTCTATTTGAAACCCCTGACCTAATCCCATTTATTCCTCCCCACTGAAACTCTCCCACCCCCTTCAGCACTTAAGGCCAGGACATCCAGCTTCTTCTCATTCATAACATCCACAATCATCTCTTTCTTATCATTCACACAACATCCACGCACATTCTAAAATCCCACTTTGAAGGTTTTCTTCTTTTTCGTTTTAGTAGGCTATACAGGAAAAAGGATTACTAGCCCATTGTTCCCGGCAATTTAGTTGACTTTTACAACATGCATGGCTTACGGAGGAAAGATTCTTATTCCACTTTCTCATGGATATGAAAGGAAAAGCAATAAGAGCAAGAACTATTAAGATAAAATCAAAGAAAACTCAGATAAGTGTGTATACATAAACATGTACTGTATATGTATGTGTAGTGTGACTTAAGTGTTAGTAGTAGCAGCAAGATGTACCTGAAATCTTGCATGTATATGAGACAGAAAAAAGATGCCAGCAATCCTACCATCATGTAAAACAATTACAGGCTTTCATTTTACACTCACTTGGCAGGACAGTAGTACCTCCCTTTGTGGTTGCTGTCTACCAACCTACTACATGTACTATTATATTATAAGTAGTTCTTCGTTCAGAATTCCTATGCATAGAGGGGTTTAGCCTTGTATGGGATCACTGTGCATTGTAATATTTTGTAATTTGCTGTCTTGCTTATTTGTATCAATAAACCCATTATTCTTGAGAAACAAAAGAGTGTTTCTGTGAAAGTTGAGCTGTTAAAAATACAGTACAGTATATCCTGTTATTTCAAGTCCACTCACTCAACATTGTTGGTTTCTAACTCATTAGGGTTTGTCAGTGATATTTTAGGATTTATTTTGATATACAGCACTGTATGAATAATACTTTATATTTTATGATAAGCTCAGTTGTAAATTGACAGACTCTCAGATGTGATTATATAGTGATACTCAAAGACTGCTCCTCTGTTTGTTATTCCACCATGCTATCCCTTTCAATTTTACACCTTTCATTATCATCATGTTAATTGTATGGGATCATTGACTCAGGTGTTATTATGGCAGATACATATTCAATTATTAGTCATTTACTCTTCCCATAGGTTTCTGCACCTTCTTCACAAGTAATACTTTTTTTTAGAGCTCTACTTAGATTTAAAAATTTATGGTTTACATTCAGCGGTTTATTTAACCTTTTCTCAACTTTTCATTATTTGTTTATTTTTTTAGAACTCTATATTTTAGTTGAACAGCTGTGTAAATGTCTTTCATTCAGTGAGAATAACTATGATTCGTCTCTTTAGATGTCTTCTCATTCTTGTAGTAACTTTTACCTCTTTAAATACTCTGTCATTAATAATTATACAAAACCCACTGTTACTGTGTATTTAAAAAGACTATTTTTCCATACAGTCTTGTTACCTTTACTGGCATTACAAAGACACTTATAATGAAGCAAGCCTCTGTTTGGATGCTTCACTCACTGACCTGGAAAAGTTCACCTGTGAGTGAGCCACATTATTGCCTTTCTACTGTTATACCTCTCAGTATCTTTTGCCTTTCGCATCAATAGTTACGCTGTTTCTAAACTTCACACACACACTTGCAACCACAAACATATCCAGCTGATTATCTCTTTATTTTGTTCTCCTTACTTTGTTTCTTGTGCTTGATAATTTACTTCACTTTACCTCTCTGATCCTTTCATTTAGATCTGCTTTTATCACAATTTGTTCTCCTTTGCCATATTTGCTAATTTGGCATACACCCTAAAAAATATGTATTTTCACCTCTTCCTTTCGATTATCTTTCAAAATATAGCCTATCATTATCCTCATTATGAAAGTACCTTCCATCATTGTAATTCACGTTATTCCACAACGGACACAGTTGATACTCGTATGACACAGTAATACCCTCCCTCATCCCGCTTACCATAATTATGATGTATTTTCTCTTACTATTACTGTTTTGTGCCACCTTTTATAATTTTTGTCTTATTCAGTGACGCTTTACTTCTGTCTACTCAAAACTAGAACAGTACGATATGAAATGGGAGACGAAAGGAAGAGGGGAGGTGATTGGACGCTGGTCAACGATGGAACAGCATGTGGAGAGAAGCTGATCTGCGTGAATCAAACATGCGAGTCACTATATCCATACATTGAGCCTGGGCATTGTGAGACTAATAACAATGCCCTTGAGTGCTCGGGCCATGGGGTAAGTATTTTGAGTGTGGATTTGTGAGGAAGCTGGATGTGAAATATTGTGAACGACCATCACCTCGAGTACCTGTTATTATTCACTACTGTACTTAAAAATGTGAAAGCAGTAAAGTTATTCATGTAATATTTTCTCTCATCTCTTTATCTCTGTCTCTTTTATCTCTTTCTCTTTTATCTCACCTTATCTTTTTGGTCTTATTTACACAGGGTTTTTACAAGGTTAAGTTAAGAGTTCCTAACTTTATTTACAAGCTAAAACCTGTTACCTACATCACTCATTTGGAAGCCTTTTTATTGTTATGAAACATACAAGTAAGGGACAGGTCATCTGGCCTTATTTCATCAGTCTCGTTATGCTATACAAGCGTATTCCAGACTCGAGTCATTTTAGGAATTAATGATCACAGATGAGGTGATATTCCTGAGAAGGGTACAGCTAGAGTGTAGTTGCTGCTTGCCACCCATCTTGTTGCATAGAAGCTGTCTTCTCACTGTCCTCAGACTGGATCTGGGTGTGGTACCTTGACAATATTGGCCTTGTACATAACAGTAAGATCACCCATGTCTCTCCAGGCTAGAGATAAGTTGTCTTGCCCAGTTCTCTATTCTGTCCAGTAGTCATAGATGAGATGGCAGGCAGGCAGTTCAAGACAGTGGAGCATACTCAAGGGGTGGGTGTACTTGTTCCTCAAGCAAAGTTTTCCAGTGTTTGCTGTTGAGCAGGTATGAGATACACCTTAGTATTGCTGACTTCTTGGCTGTCTTTCTTGCAAGATTTACAACTTCAAATCAAATCAAATCAAAGTTTATTCTCTATAAGGATTACAATGCGGGGTTTACAGATTTTGGTTATTGTGTGGTTTACATGTAATAAAATACTAATTACAGAGGGGGCCACTAGAGCACCTAGCATGGCTAGGCATTTCGGGCAAATCTAGATTACTTCCTAACCCTAAATTATTACAAATTGTGGAGTAAGTTTACTAAGTGACTAAATACTAGTTTGTGAGTTTAGCAATGTGAATTTTGTTTTGGCACAATACATAGTTTCTGTATTGGAGTATCACAGGCAAAATTGTGACTAGTTAGGAATCATTATTTTAAGATTAAGATATGTATTTCTGGGTGAGTGAGTGAGTGTAAGTGTGAACCACCAAGTGGTTCATCATAGACAATTTGGAGTCAAATTTCACCCCGAGGATATCCTCCTCATCCTGGACCCCAACACCCGCCTGTTTATTCTTACCATTGCTCAAGTATTACCAGCATTGTGCCTAGAAACCATCAGCATTTGTGTTCCCCCCTTCTCTCTCTCTCTCTCTCTCTCTCTCTCTCTCTCTCTTTTTTTTTTTTTTAACACAGGGTTTGACAAGGTTAGGTTAAAGATTCCTAACTTTACTGACAAGTCTCTCTCTCTCTCCGCATCTTTCTCCTCTTTTGCATCTTTCTCTACACCTCACATTTCCCCTGCTGTGGAATATGCCCTCTCTGTCAGTAAATTATATAACCAGTACTAGTAAGCCTATTTAGATACAACTGCATGAAGGAACTGTATGTTTACAGGTACACAAGGTTAAGGGACTACAGTCAGTGATTGTAGCTAGTTTAGTTGCAGTCACTGACTGTAGGTTAGGTGGTGATAAAGATAATTGGAAAATGCATGAATAGTCTAGTTATTAGGTTATAAAGAATAATCAGACTACTAAGGAAGATTCATAAATGATCAAGAAACAGTCATAATAGCCAAAGAACAGTTATAATAACCAAGGAACACTAATAATAACCAAGGAAATGGTCATAATAAATAAGGAACAACACTCATAATAACCAAGGAACAACAGTTATAATAATCAAGGAGCAATCATAATAACCAAGGAACAACACATAGTAAGCAAGGAAAAATCATAACTAAGGAACAACACTCATAATCAAGGAACAACACTCATAATAACCAAGGAACAGTCATAATAACCAAGGAACAACACATAGTAACCAAGGAAGTCATAATAACCAAGAAACAGACATAATAACTAAGGAACAACACACAGTAACCAAGGAACAGTCATAATAACTAAGGAACAGTTATAGTAACCAAGGAACAACAGTAATAATAACCAAGGAACAACAATTGTAATAACCAAGGAACAACACATAGTAACCAAGGAACAGTCATAATAACCAAGGAACAACACACAGTAACCAAGGAACAGTCATAATAACTAAGGAACAGTTATAGTAACCAAGGAACAACAGTAATAATAACAAAGGAACAACAGTCATAATAACCAAGGAACAACACATAGTAACCAAGGAACAGTCATAATAACCAAGAAACAGACATAATAACCAAGGAACAGTCATAATAACCAAGGAACAACACATAGTAACCAAGGAACAGTCATAATAACCAAGGAACAGTCATAATAACTAAGGAACAGTTATAGTAACCAAGGAACAACAGTAATAATAACCATGGAACAACAATCGTAATAACCAAGGAACAACACATAGTAACCAAGGAACAGTCATAATAACCAAGGAACAGTCATAATAACTAAGGAACAGTTATAGTAACCAAGGAACAACAGTAATAATAACCATGGAACAACAATCGTAATAACCAAGGAACAACACATAGTAACCAAGGAACAGTCATAATAACCAAGAAACAGACATATTAACCAAGGAACAGTCATAATAACTAAGGAACAACACACATTAACCAAGGAACAGTCATAATAACTAAGGAACAGTTATAGTAACCAATGAACAACAGTAATAATAACCAAAGAACAACAATCGTAATAACCAAGGAACAACACTCATAACCAAGGAACAGTCTTAGTAGCCAAGGAACAACACAGTGATCAAGGAACAGTCATAATAACAGATATTAAGGATATTGGAAGGCAGTATTTAGAAATGTATGAAGAGAATCTTCTGAGCACTACCTACAACCAGAATAATAATAAAAATAATAATTTTATTTTAGCATGATACATGTTTGTACAAAGGAGTGTAATAGTTTGGTGAACATGCCAAAAGCCCTTTTATATGCAGAGCATTTCAGGCAAACTTAAGATTAATAAAGCAATAACAGTGTTGTCACTGTAAATATGGGCATTAGGTGAGTTACAGTGAATGCAAGAATATTGAATATTCTATTAGTTCACTGTATATGGCTTTAATAAGTTAGGTAGAGAAGAATTACAGTTTTGATAAAGTATATAAAAAATACAGTATTACAATTTAAAGCAATGATGTTGAAACTGTTTGAAGTGATTATTAACCCATAAACGGTCCAAACGTACATATATGTTCACTACCCCAGTGCCCCGAATATTTTGAAAAAATTATTTTTTTTTTTTAAAGGAAATAAAGAACACATTTTTCTAAGTGTTATAAGGATAAAAAAATATTAGGGTCAGTAATTACAGAGATATGAGGCCAAGAAGTTGGCACTGGATGCTCACGTGACGGCAGCACCGAGTCCTGCAGCTTACCTGGAGACTTGGAGTTTACCTGGAGAGAGTTTCGGGGGTCAACGCCCCCGCGGCCCGGTCTGTGACCAGGCCTCCTGGTGGATCAGCGCCTGATCAGCTTGCAGAAATCTTACTGATATTTTTTTTTTCTACAGTGGAACCTCAAAAATCGAACTTAATCTGTTCCAGGAGCTAGTTCTAAATTCGAAAAGTCTGAAATTCGAAGCAATATTTCCCATAAGAAATAATGGAAATACAGTGGACCCCCACTTAACGATCACCTCCTAATGTGACCAATTATATAAGTGTATTTATATAAGTGCGTTTGTACGTGTATGTTTGGGGGTCTGAAATGGACTAATCTACTTCACAATATTCCTTATGGGAAGAAATTCGGTCAGTACTGGCACCTGAACATACTTCTGGAATGAAAAAATATCGTTAATCGGGGGTCCACTGTACAATTAATCCGTTCCAGAAACCCAAAAATATTCACAAAAAAAATACATTTTATAGAGATTAATTACAGTTTTACATACAACAGATACTATAGTTTTTAATTATGTATAGTAATACATATAAACAGCTATTGTAATACATATAAACAGCTATTGGAGGATAGATGGGCTAATGAGAGCATAGGCAATGGGGTCGAAGAGGTATGGGGTAGGTTTAAAAATGTAGTGTTAGAGTGTTCAGCAGAAGTTTGTGGTTACAGGAAAGTGGGTGCAGGAGGGAAGAGGAGCGATTGGTGGAATGATGATGTAAAGAGAGTAGTAAGGGAGAAAAAGTTAGCATATGAGAAGTTTTTACAAAGTAGAAGTGATGCAAGGAGGGAAGAGTATATGGAGAAAAAGAGAGAAGTTAAGAGAGTGGTGAAGCAATGTAAAAAGAGAGCAAATGAGAGAGTGGGTGAGATGTTATCAACAAATTTTCGTTGAAAATAAGAAAAAGTTTTGGAGTGAGATTAACAAGTTAAGAAAGCCTAGAGAACAAAGGGATTTGTCAGTTAAAAATAGGAGAGGAGAGTTATTAAATGGAGAGTTAGAGGTATTGGGAAGATGGAAGGAATATTTTGAGGAATTGTTAAATGTTGATGAAGATAGGGAAGCTGTGATTTCGTGTATAGGGCAAGGAGGAATAACATCTTGTAGGAGTGAGGAAGAGCCAGTTGTGAGTGTGGGGGAAGTTCGTGAGGCAGTAGGTAAAATGAAAGGGGGTAAGGCAGCCGGGATTGATGGGATAAAGATAGAAATGTTAAAAGCAGGTGGGGATATAGTTTTGGAGTGGTTGGTGCAATTATTTAATAAATGTATGGAAGAGGGTAAGGTACCTAGGGATTGGCAGAGAGCATGCATAGTTCCTTTGTATAAAGGCAAAGGGGATAAAAGAGAGTGCAAAAATTATAGGGGGATAAGTCTGTTGAGTGTACCTGGTAAAGTGTATGGTAGAGTTATAATTGAAAGAATTAAGAGTAAGACGGAGAATAGGATAGCAGATGAACAAGGAGGCT